TTTTCCACCGTCTGTTATTTTATCACAAAGTGCTCTGATATAAAAGAAATAATAATGTGGTTTATAATATAACAAAATAACACGATGAATTTAACGAATTGATGACAATCTGCGGTCACTATTTTGTATAACAACTATAAAGCTTCTAACATCATTAATGAGTCAAATCAAGTTATAACTGCAATAATCTAGTAAGAAAACCCGACGCAGGTCTACAAAGTTTCAACAGAGATGCATCAAACATAAACCCGACCTAGTAACCGACTGTACGTCATTCATTTTTGTCTTTAAATCAAATTGGAGGCAAATTGAAGCCAATTTAACAAATGTCAACATATTTTGACATCTTTCAATTAACTACGGGGAAGTTTAGATTTGATCAGTCTTATTATGGAGAGCTTAAAAATCTTCAGAGAAGAAAAAAAATGTTGGAAATAAAATATCAGATTCCATTTCCTATAATTTTTACACTACCAAATAAAAAGCCTTAAATGATCACAGCTAATACTACTTTTTAAAATCACCCACTTAATCAATTCACAGAAAACTATTTATTTCAGGTTCTCAATTAGGGCCAACATCCCATTACTTGGGGTCATACGCTGCTTTACATGGAATTCCACTGCAGTTGCAATTTCATGAGCACATCTTAAAAAAATGTTAACTTCTCCTGAACCACAGACCAGTGGGTTGGGACGCTATCTCGATATCCGCCATGAGCATGTTAGATCAATCACAATATTCATCCTGTTACTTGTCAATTTTCCATTGCATCTATTTTTATAGGGTACAATTAGAAACTATGAACTAATCATATTGAAATACATGTACAACATTAAGTGTCAAAACTTAATTATGTCCCTTTATCTTTGAGGCTAAACCTTGATTGTCTTAACTTTGCTCTCCAAGTTCGCAGAGATAAATTACTGTTCAAATGCTAAATGATGCACTTTTATTAAAGTGAAAAAGTAATCTTTTTGTATAAATAACATTCTTTGGAAAAGCCTGAGCTGCAATTGTAATGTATTTTTTTAAAGAATTTTAATATCAAAATTTGGGGAATTCATATATACATGTATTTGCCTGAAAACTACAATTTCGTTACAATTATTACAGACAGAAGACATAAGCATCAGAATTATCTGTCAAGTTGTAGTTAACTTTGTACGAAAACAATATAACGTTTCTTATTGTTTAGGGTCTCCGTAAAACATTTGCAGGTATAGGGGTTAGAGGTGGTCTGGGGATGCCCGCCATTGTCTTATACGAATACAAATTAAATTGATATAATTATGACATTTGGAACAAACAATCCTAATTTTATAAATAATTGGTTTAATCGTATACATTCTGATAAATTGATGATAAAGAACGATACAATTACAAAGTTTAACCTATAAAATAAGAAACTATATACAAGTTATCAATACCTGTTTATATTTATTAAAAAAATACAAAATCGACCACCTGTGTTTCCCATAATAAAATGCAACCTGTTATGTTTTGACTTATTTGTTGCCACCTCTTAAAGGTTGCACTCTATGTTTATTACAGCGCTGGGTTTTCTTTAAAACGATTCCGGGATTTATCCGCTGCAGGTAATAACGACTAATTATGTCCATTCGAGGGTCTATAGTGAATGAACAGGTGTGAGTCAAAATAAGCTTTATATTACCATATTTTCTTTTGATTTAATAATTTACTTCACGTAAACAATAAATAACCCCTGGATCCAAACGGAATTTCTGTAAAGCTCAATTAGAATTTACCTGTAACGTTCAGTTTATAAAAAGAGTGGGCAGGTCTTTTTTATATTTAAGGCAGATTTTAAATGTTATCTTATACATTTTACAATATAAACTGTTGATCAAACACAATTTTAACAGCCAATCTTTAGAAATAAAATGTCAATTCAACTCATCTTGACTATGAATATATGAGCAAAATGTTACTTTAATTATAACTGAAAATCTATTTATAAGTTGATGACATTAAAAGGCGTTCTTACATTGTTTAAGCATATTGTATCACTCATGTAAAAATGCACTAGTCAATGAAGATTGCAGGATGTCTGCAAGCCTTTACAGAATGATTTAATATCTAAACCTAAACAGATGTCAATCACTGGGAAAAATTAAAAACAACATCCGACATCGATTGCATCGGTAAGTCTTAGCAATAACGATATCTACATTTTACAACTGCACATAGAGCTTGAAAATCAATTGTTTGTTTGGCTTTAACCACACACAAACACATTACTGGTGACATCATCATATAAATTTTGATCTAAATGTGAGGAAGATTAATTTATCAAAATAGAGTAATTAAAAGGCCCATTATACCTTAGAAATGCTTTAATTTTTATTTCTCAAAAGCTTTTTATTTTGGTGTAGTTTTGTAGCATTAAAAACGTTTTCATAGAGGATATTTGTTTGTTTGTGTGTAAGGTGAAATTTTATTTCATCGAGTGGGCTTTAAAAACAGTCTTTTCCCTCGTGGCTACTTCACTCGTGAGAATACTGTTTTAATAGTTCACGAGATGAAATAAATTACATCTTACACAACAAACAAATTTTCTTTTATTTTATGCTTAATTAGAAACAAGTTGAAACGAAATTTCCTTAATATTAAAATCTGTTGTCCCCATTGAGAGCCTCAAAAAAGTCGAATTTCTCATTAAATACAAGAAGTCTTTGGCTGAAAAAATAAGTTCGACAATCAACGTTAAGTGGATGTGATAGTATTCATTTTATTAAAAAAAATATGGCTGATCGCTTGTTTAAATAATAAAAACAAACAATTCTAGTAGGAGAAAAAGTCCAACCAGCCATCCATATTTCTGTTACTGACTGCAAATTTATATTAGAACTGGCTTTGTTAAATGTAAGCGGCCGCCATTTTTAAAGTTGTGTATTTCACTGGAGGAAGTTAATTGTATTTGATTTAGAGGGATATCATTTGGATGTGTTAGTCATACACCTTTTTAAAAGAAAGAAAACTTATTTGAGGATTGTAACAGACAATAAATAAGTGTTGACAGATGTGTAAACATTTAAAAAGTGGATAGGAAATTGGAAAACTTGGAAGCCTTACGAACCACAGGGGGCCCACACAGTGTTTGGATGGTATACTTGTATACTGCTTGACGGTGACCTTAAAATGAGATTTAGTCATAACCTTATAATATGTATAAAAATCTCATTTTATGGTCACCAACAAGCAGTATATACCATCCAAACACTGTGTGGGCCCCCTGTGTTACGAACGCTGGGTGGTTTACTTATTCTTCGGACTGATAGGTGTCATTTGTTTTCAAGTTTTCATAAAGGATACGGAAGTTATTGCTCGTAGGAAACTTAAATATTCCCAAATGTCATCAAGAGCAGTTTTACATGTGGAAGGAATGTATTTTTCAGACTGTAAAATTGAAACAAAAAATAAAAGAGACGATATTTGGTGATTGGTAATTTCAATGAATAGAAGTAACTTACTGTAAATTTTCCTCTTTTAATTACTTTTGACATTTACGTTATTTATCAATTTTAACTTTGCTTTTCTTTAAACAGCCTGACATTGTCAGCAAAAATAAAATTGAGGTACATTTACCACATGGGGAAAATCTTAAACAAGAGCTGTCGGTAGGACAGCATGCTCGACTATTCTTAGTGCTTGATAGTAGAAAAAATGCCTGATACAGTTACCTCCTCCTGTTTACAGGTTGGGGTCATGATGGTGAACAAGTGTGCAAAGTTTCAAAGCCATATGTCAATGGACTTTGAAAATATTTGAACTATTACAAAAACTTTAACGTAAATTCTAAGTCGAAAAAGGGGCATAATTCTGTCAAAATGCTTGATAGAGTTACCTCCTCCTGTTTACAGGTTGGGGTCATGATGTTGAACAAGTGTGCAAAGTTTCAAAGCCATATGTCAATGGACTTTGAAAATATTTGAACTATTACAAAAACTTTAACGTCAATTCTAAGTCGAAAAAGGGGCATAATTCTGTCAAAATGCTTAATAGAGTTACCTCCTGCTGTCTACAGGTTGGGGTCATGATGTTGAACAAGTGTGCAAAGTTTCAAAGCTATATGTCTATGGACTTTGAAAATATTTGAACTATTACAAAAACTTTAACGTAAATTCTAAGTCGAAAAAGGGGCATAATTCTGTCAAAATACTTGATAGAGTTACCTCCTCCTGTCTACAGGTTGGGGTCATGATGGTGAACAAGTGTGCAAAGTTTCAAAGCCATATGTCAATGGACTTTGAAAATATTTGAACTATTACAAAAATTTTAACGTAAATTCTAAGTCGAAAAAGGGGCATAATTCTGTCAAAATGCTTGATAGAGTTACCTCCTCCTGTCTACAGGTTGGGGTCATGATGGTGAACAAGTGTGCAAAGTTTCAAAGCCATATGTCAATGGACTTTGAAAATATTTGAACTATTACAAAAACTTTAACATAAGTGGTTACGCCGACGCCGACGCTCGGGTGACTGCAATAGCTCTACTTATTCTTATCGAATAGTCGAGCTAAAAAGTAGTTTCGTCATAGAAAAGTGTGAAATTATATTTTGACAATTTTCACTGTGAAATTATCAAATATAATTTTCACGGATAAATTCAGTAATCTACTGAAAAGCATAAAATAAAGTCATATACTTTACAATACATAGAGGATATTTGTTTGTTTGTGTGTAAGATAAAATTTTGTTTCATCGAGTGGACTTTAAAAACAGTATTCTCACGAGTGGCATAGCCACGAGTGATAATACTGTTTTAAAGGTCACGAGATGTCCCAGCCGGGATCCGAACAAACAGAGGTGAGGTACAACTTCCTTGCAACCATCCGTTGAACCGTCAATGTAAATGTGCATATTTCAGAACTTTCAATTGCAGACTTGTTAAACTAAGTCTATTTTATTATAAAAAATAAGTACATAAGCCACATCTCTTAATGTATCGGAATAAATTGAAAACTAAACTGGTTTTATATTGCTATATATTTTTATTTAATAAATTTATTCTTTGTCATATTGTACAAATATGTTTCATAAGCAATATCACACATTTACAAAAAATACTCGCCTACATAAATACAAAACAAATAAATAATGTCTTCTTAAAGTTTCAAACAAAAAGAAAATATATTAAACTTTACAGTTCTGAACAAGATTCTCATTTCAGGCATCATTGCGACCAAACCAAAACCACAATAGTAACACGATGGCCTTAGATCGCTCACATGACATTATTTACAAGAGGTTATAAATTCCTTACTACACCAGATGTCATCCAGGGTTTAGTGACACTTGCGTGGATATAATAAATTTGGAATAATACCATAAGGCAATGCTACATGCCAACAACCTATGCTCTATGGCGTTCGGTTTCAGTCAATAAAATTCAAACGTATTTTTAATATACAAGGCTACGTTAACTCTGTAACACAGGAGGGGCAAATTATGACCATTGGTGAATGATATATTCAACTTTTGTAGAGGTCTAAATGTGATCTTAAATACCAAATAGCTATGCTTGCAGATTGGAAATATCTGTTTTATTTTCCAAACACATTCTTCGCTCTTTGACCTACTTGTGCATTAGACTGAAACCATTTAATTGACTATTGTAAAAATATACCATGTAGTTGAGGAGATGATGTTAAAATTGTAGATAAAGATGAACAACATATGACATGTTATCAATAAGCCACCTCTGAGTAGTTGTGCTCACCTGGCTTAAAAAAGGTAATGGCAATATCCCTGATCAGTTCATATTAAGCAATACAGACACTTAAACATGATTATAACAAAAGTGTGATGAACAAGTAATAACAGTAAGTAATAAGTTCGTCAAAAATATATTCATAACCTTTTTGGAGTTTATTGTACATAACTGAAACAAAACGTTTCAATGAATGCTATCGCACAGAAGTTTAAAACAGACAAGGAATTTTTAAGTTAAATTATCACAGTTTTGAGAATACAAGTGACAAAAATATGTAACAATGCTATATCCTTTTTGAAAATGTTTTCATTGATATAAGTCTGTTTGCAGGTCTGTCATAGCCTGTGTTAAACGTTTCATTTTGTCTTCCATTGCTTTCTTTGACGACTGATTCTCACTTAGTAACTCTCTCATTTCTTCTTCAACTTCGGCTACCTGAAAATATGCAAAACTGATATCAGAACACGAACAATTAAATATTATTATTTGATATTTGTCATAACAAATGAAAACAATATATTGCAAAAACAATGGAAAGATTGTTCATTAAAATTGTTGATGAAACTGATGCCATATCTCGTAAAGAAAGCCACTAAAGTGACTACCCTAAAAAGAAGCATTAGGATGGTCTTACTTTTTCCTACAATAACACAGGCTACAAATAAGTAATACAAAACACGAAGACAATTCATTTGCAAACAATTAACCTCATGTTGTTTACATTAACATTTGTTCTTGAACTGTTGAAAAAAACTACAATAAGATATTTAATAATGCAAAAGATCATCCTTCCATTAAATGCAGGCCACTTAAATGATAAGATAGAATATAACTTAGAATATAAGTAAAGTATATATATTCTTACTGATGAAAAAAATGTGTTTTTATTTAAAAAGATTGCTATCTCAATGTGATGGTTCATTATCAATATCACCATCTAAAATACATGTCTTACCCTCATGTAGGCCTGATCTATTTCTATCTGTTTTTCCCGTTCAACCTGTGCAATTTTATCCTGGTACGCCTGCACTTTGTCTTCTAACTGTTTCCGGAATGAGTCATCAGCACTTTTCAGTCGATCTATTGCTAAACTGAAACAAGATAAAGAATACAAATGAAGTACAAAGAACTAAAATAATTTTATTCAAAGGCTTAACTATTGCTTTACAACAATTTATTTGTAAATTTGATATTTTATTCATATTTGGCTCGATTCGAAACTGAACATATAATCACCAAAGTTTTTATTGACTAATGTTCTAATAACAAGAAATGTTCCTCTTGAAAATACACTTACAAAATACATGTATTACTATTAATTGGTGGATTGAATATCTCATTACTGTAGGACTGATTCATGTGACATAACAGTGTTCTTAATGGAATTTTTCCTGTATAGCTTTAATCCAATGAAATTATTCTGAATAATTGGCATGGTAAATCAAATAGAATTTGCAACTTCTTTTCTTAAAACAAATTTCTGGAATTAAATACTTATTAAGACTGTAAAGTTCTGTAACCGTTGATATAATACTTGTAGCTTCATTACATAATTTCTTCTTTTCTTTGCCTTTTTCAGATATGGTATTCAACAAATTATCTAAATTGATACTCTGCTTTGTAAATATCCATTCAAAGAAATATTGCCAGACCTCTAGTGACCATTTTGAATTGGGGAGAACAAAATTAATAGAGGTAACTCGTACATATTTGGCCCAAATAAAACTAAAAAGTTTATTACTTCGCAGCATGCAATGCCTTGTCTCTTTCTTGGGACAGTTTCTGTTCCTTTTTCTCCCAGTTCTCTTTCATTTCTCTCACTTGCTGTTCTAACTGACCAATCAGCTGCGATTTCTCTTTCCATCTGCTATTTAACACACTGAAAAAAGGTAAAACACATTTACTATATAATACATTGAAAAACGTAACGCACATTTGCTATTCAGTACACTGAAAAAAAGGAACATATTTCTGCAGTTCAGTACACGAGGCAAAATGATAAAATATTTCTGCAACTTAATACACTCATAAAAGATAACATGTATTAGTACTTTAAAAGAAACATGTATTAGTACTTTAAAAGAAACACCTATCATTTCATTAAAGCTGCAATCTTTACATTAGAGCTGCATGCCTCCAGATGAGCCAAAGAAAATCAACTTTGAGAAAAATGTATTAAAACTTTACAAAAAGTTAAAAAATTAACAATGCAAGTAATGTTTTACATGTTATATGCAATGGATTACAATCTTTGCAGTATTTATCACCATACGTCTACTGTGTGACTAACACAGTTAGGGCTACTTTAGCATATTTTGACCTTTATCTTTTACATATGTGGGTTGAAAGTGTCATTTGTAGTGTGCAAATAACTTTGTTCACTTGACAATATTTTACTTTTTAATTCATTCTCAAAATGTTCATGACATTTAGTATGAATCTGTAGACATGCTGCTTTACAACAAGCCACACTGCACATCAAATAGTTTGATTTGACCTTCATCAAATGTCAAACTTGAATGGTCTAATTCAAAACCTGGAAACCATTCATAGGATTGTTTTGACATTTTCTTTCTTTCATATTTGTGGAAAAAATATATATTTTCTATTAAAAACTGATATCTTATCCAATAAATCAAACGTTAAACTTACGTAAAATGTTATTTAAAGCAAACTATTTTATTAAACTGAACACTATAATATTATATATCATTAATACATTCATAAAATCTTTCCCACAATGTAAAATGAGAGATACATTGTTAAACTAAATGGAGTTTAGCTTATTACAGAATATTTTAATAAAATATCATTTTCATATTAGTAGGTGTACAATATATGTAACTTATGGATTTGAAATTTCAATAAATACTCATAAATAATACAACACCACTCACATTCATACATTCATAACAATGTCAACAGGTGAAGGTAAAACAACATATTTTTGTAGCAATAACCTTCAAACAAGTTATGAACCTTATAATTTATTATATTGTTATTTGTGGACATGAAATGTTTCACAATTTTTCATACACATCTCTATAGAATAAAATTTTGTAAAAAGAGTGATGCTTTTGCTTTATACACATCTCTATAGAATAAAATTTTGTAAAAAGAGTGATGCTTTTGTTTTATACACATCTCTATAGAATAAAATTTTGTAAAAAGAGTGATGCTTTTGTTTTATACACATCTCTATAGAATAAAATTTTGTAAAAAGAGTGATGCTTTTGTTTTATACACATCTCTATAGAAAAACTTTGTAAAAAAGAGGATTCTTTTGTTTTGCTGGAAAAATTAACTTTATGTGTATAAATGTTAGACCCGAATTTAAATTTTTAGAATCTTTTTCTCCCTTTGATACTTTTGTTGTAAGGTACATGCATAAATGTACCATGTTCATCATACAGAAAAAAATGCTCACATAATTTTTGTATTTTTTGTTTTGTGTTTTACGTCACATCGACACAGTATAGGTCGTATCGCGACGTTCCAGCTTTACGGGTGGAGGAAGACCTCAGATGCCCTTCCGTGCATTATTTCAGGCACGAACGGGCACCTGAGTAGAACCACCGACGTTCCGTAAGCTAGCTGGATAGCTTCCTCGCATGATAGAATCCAAAATCCCTGTCGGGATTCGAACCCACAGCGGTGAGGGGCAAGTGGTAATTTTTGTATACTTATCTTATTTAATACAATTACATGAATTAATTCATGAAAATAATCATTGAAGTTCAAGTTAATAAGTAAAGTTTTGTGAAAAAGCTGAAACTTGAACCAGCTGATGAAAAAAAGAACACATCTGTTATCTAAGATTTAACTGAAGCAATTACCTGTGTGCTCTTTTAGAATCATCAAGCTCACTGTGCACCTCTGATAACTGCTGTTTGAGGTCTTCCTTCCTGTCCCGGAGCCTTTCTAGCATATCCTGTTGGAAAATAAATAACAACTAGAAATATGTCAAAAGGACAAGGATGCTCCCCCACTCCACTTTTTTGTTAATCTACAGACTGCATGACAGCAAGACCGTGGGAAGGATGGACAAGGGCTAATCCCCGATTAATTATGGCATCATTTTACTTGAAATCAGTTTGATAATCTGTGTGAGGTCGGGATTTGAAGCTGTTTTACACGAATGTGCAACTCTTAAAAATGTTTAAAGTCTAAGCAGAAAATTATCATATTTTGATCAGTAAAATGGATTATGCACAGAAAACTGTTCAGCTTCTATAACTTAATTTGATAAAATAGAGAAAAACAGAATCCCTAAAAAAAGCCTTTCTTAATGGCTGATGACTTCAGCAAATAAAATCTAAGTTTTCTTGGAAACATATAAGATTCTAAAAGAAACATTATATATACAAGCACTTATCTGAATTGGGCTTGTTTTTATCCCCGATTTAACATATTTTTGGTTATATTTCGTTGGTCTGTCAACCTAACTGACTTTCCTGGATAACTAACCAGTAATTACTAATTTCTCTGCAAGCAATAGGTCCCACATGATTTCTCAAAACACGGTGAGAAAATATTGACCATTAAAACTTAATGTCCTAGATCAATTGTCACAGAAACATCCATCTCAACAGAAGATTGAACTTGTGACACCTTGGATTACAGACTCTCCTTATATTAAGGAAAAGTGGTTGGAAACTTTTTCTGAATATCCTGATCTACTGAATATCCTGATCTACCTATGGACCTTTATGAAATAAATTTTAAACTAAATCTACTACCTTTGCTACCTGTACATACCAAGTTCAGACGGCACAGCTTTACAATCAGATCATGGTTTGCACTGTTCACTATTCATTCAGAATCGATGTTGAAATTTTCTTAAATTATGGTGTTTTTGTCCAGATTGAAAGATGGACAGGTTATTATCATATATTGACAATAATTATCAGTAAAGATTTATGTTTTATTTACACTACACACCATCATCTGTCATAGAATCACAATGAAACATCGTTTCCCTCAAACACTGAATAATGTCATTCAATATTTTAAATAACTTACTTGGAAAAAATCTCCTTGTTTTATAAATACACAAGTCTTATGTATAATTTACAAACTATCACATACCTGAGTATCCTGGTTATTAGTTCTTTCCTCAGCCAATTGCTCTTCAAGACTTTTCTGAATTTTCAAATTTTCTTGTCTGCACTTTTTTATTTCTTCATCCCTCTCCTCTACACCCTATGAAACAACATGTAACAAGATAATACATTTGTGAAATAAATTCATAACCTTAAAATTCAAAAAAAAAAGCTGAGAAAAGATTCCTGAGAAAAATTCTGTTCAATATAATACATGATGATCTTTGTTTGTTTGTTTGTTTGATTGGGTTTTACGTCACACCAACACATAGGTCATATGGCGATGTTCCAGCTTTACTTGGAGGAAGACCTCAGGTGCCCTTCGGTGCATTATTTCAGGCCCGAACGGGCACCTGAGTAGAACCAATGACGTTCAGTAAGCTAGCTGGATAGCTTCCTTACATGAAAGAATCCAAAGCCCCTGTTGGGATTTGAACCCACAGCCGCGAAGGGCAAGTGGTTTGAAGTCAACGATCTTAACCAATCGGCCTAGGACGCCCTCATGATGATCTTTAGAACAATTTTAAAATCTCAATATATTTATGATTACCTTGCTGGAACCGAAAGTGATAAGCCTTTGCCACCAGTATTGAACCAGGCCAATCTGTACATCAATGCAGACTGACCAGGCTCCATACTGTTGGCTGATCAGAATTTTCATCTTTATATTCACAAATATGATAATGGAAAGGTCCAAAAATAGAAGCCATACATGTTCATTATAATAAGTTAATCAGGTTAAGTTGAAATGTTTTGCTAGCAGTAGTCGAGAGTAGCATGTAACACTGCCGTTCACAAAACAAGTTTGATAAAGTACACACAACAACCCTCTGAACTTTTTATATCCGGTGTGAAACTTGTTGACCTTTATGATTCCAATGCCATGATTTCTGAACAACAGCATGTCTGTGCCACAACAAATTGAAAAATAAAGCACTATATATATTGCTTTCATTATAAAACAAATTAGTAAAAGTCTGGGACACAATCCTCATCATCACTTTCCACTGTTTAGTCTCTGTTGGTCACAGCTTCAATCACCAATACAAATCGTGAATTATCTATCACAGGAGTAATTGAATCTGCTTATTGCAAAACAAGCAGCTGCCAGATTATGTGAATGGAATAAAAACTTTCAGACAAGATGAACACGGTTATTAGGAAGCACGTTATGTTAACATGTTCAAACTGTGTGGTATATGACACATGTCTATCACTGCTCCCACACCTTAATTCTCCTTCACTGATAGGTGCACTGCAGTAGGTATAATTGCAAATACACAATTACAAAGCGGACAAATCAAGTTATCAACATTTCGTCACAAGATTCTATACTATATTGTTTTAATAACTGCTAAATGATAGTAAAAACTGCTATTTTACAGTTAAACCCCTAGTAATATTGAAACATAAAAATTCTGTGAAATATACATTTGATTTTTATTCATAAGGAGTATGTGGTTAAAATCCGGTCTTCCAAGTGAATTACAATTCTCTACTCTGGAATTAAGAATATTTCATGTTATCGGCACAAACAAACTTTTTACAGTTACATCTTCGAAAATAAATAGGTTGACTAATCTATTGTGAAATGTAATTCCCTGTGAATCTATAACGGTAAAATTTTGTTTGTAGCAATGGGATAAGCTTGGAAAGACCGTCATTTGTCGACTTCCAGATAACAGCTATTGATAATTACACATGCACCTGCTCTTGTACCTTTCCATTATGCAATATAATGTTAGTTCCAGCTATTGCCTTTTTATGAAAGCAACTAAAAAAGCCCCAATTCTCAATCATGAAAGCAGAATCACTGCAATTTGAAACAATTTGTGATTAATTCAAAACTAGTGCAAGTTAAACCATGGACTTTAAAAACAATTAAAGTTTGTGGTTAAACAAACAAATTAAGAAATTGTGAGAAATGACTATTTTTTCGTACCTCTTTCAATTTTCTAATTGTTTCAGTCTGATCTTCTAACATCTTTGTTTTAATTTTCAGGCCATCTGTCTCCCGCTGAAGTGATAAAGATATCAACTGCTATAAATACCAGTGCATTCATTTTTAGTGCCAAAATGATTTATAATGGATATACATGTAAATGTTTTCATTCCACTAATATATATAACACATACTACTCAATCAATTTTTATGTTTATATGATTTATAACATCACTTGATACCTTTTGATAAAATATCTAGACTACGATTAATCTTAACAAAGTTTAGCATTTATACTTAAAGAACCTTTAGCGTAGTAGTGGCCGCTGAAATTACCAATGCAACCAATGCATACCAAGATCAGCCAGTACAACTGTGCCCTCTTATCATGGTCTAAACTGTTCATTATTCGGTCAGTTCTTATTTTAAATATTTCATTAAATGATTGGTTTTGTATTGATGGAGAAATTTACAAGTTTATGTCATATATTCAAACTGGTAAGGATTATATCCATCTAAAGTACTTTTTGTCTTATCTGAAGCTCCTATTATAAAACTGCCTTATTTCATAGTATGCCAAGTGAATATTATTTAAATAATCTTTATTGTAAAATAAGCTTTAGCTATTTTGTCACCTCAGTGCAGTAACATGTTACCTTCTATGAAATCTAATAGTAGTTAATCCGTTACTGCACTAAGGTGATAAATGTTGGAACACTTCCAAGTCTGTTTCCTGGGACTAACCAGTACTGGTGTCCCAAGAGGCAACATAGTTGATATCACGCCTGAATCTCTAGGCCATTGCTCCCTTTTATAACATGCCTGTAAAACTATGAGACTGTTTTGACTGGCCTGTATTCAATCGTCAATACATTGATCATCAGGCGGATTACAATCATCCGATATTACCGGTACAATATTGATTCCTTACTGCCACAATTGTATGTGCTTATTTCATGTCCAGTAATAAAATAAGTTAGTTTACGAGTAAATTATTTTCCTTCAAATAAGTTCAATGTATTTCTTTGAAATGTATCAAACAATATTGTTGTATGTAAAATAGCTAATTGCAGAAAATAAATTACTTTTAACATTTTTTTTATCAATAAGATAATGAAATTTAAACAAATTTCAGATTTTAAATTTAATTTCTAAAAATAAGAAACAATATTTTATGATATATTTAACTTTATTCAATAACTCCCACAGATATTTTTTTACAATTTGTATGGACGTAACACTTATCTTCTCTAACAAAAAAGAGAGAATTATGTTATTTCATATATAATTAAATGGTCTTTGTAGGACCCGATTATTACAATATTTTTTTTTATTTAGAGATAGGCGGTTTGAATAGAGTAACCTTTTCATATGTCGTAGATATCCAAATAATTAAACATTTGTCAATAGGTTTATCATTAAAAAACATTTTACTTGAATAATGAAAATAAAAACATTCACAATCTTTCTCTTGCTATACAAATGTAGGTTAGCACTACAGGTTATGTGATGTTACATATACTATTAGTGCAAAAAAGGTGACATGATGAAGATACATAGAAGATACATGTCCAAACTATAAAATTTATGCAGATTGCTTCATCCATTAAAACGTTTTCTCTTTTGCAAAAATAAAAAGATGACTCTTTTGCAAAAACCGAGAGAAGTAAAACATAATATTCTTATTGCTTTTTAGGCATGTAATGCATCTGAAAAATTACTTATTTAGCACTTTTTGAGCTATGTTCATAAAAAATATGAACAATTTACTATATTTGTTCTAAGATAGTCATTTTCCCAATAAATAAACAAGGTTAAACGTATGTTGAAGTCAAATAATTATACAATTCACTTTTAAAGACACCAAAATGGAGGCAAGCTAATTATTTACACTTTTGTGAACATAATATTAATCTTTCCTCACAAAAAAAATAATTGTTTTTTATATTTTTATTCATTATGTTAACTGAAAGGCAGTGCGAATAAGGTAACATCATGAATGTCTATACATGTAGATATTCAAACTACAAAACATTTTACCTCTAACTGTTTCTTAAGCATTGCTATTTCAGACTTCTGTGCCTCGAGCTTAGCATCCAAAGTGCCTCGATCTTGTGCAAGTGATGCTCCTGAAACAAACAATAAGTAAACTATTAAATAAATTCAGTTATAATGTAAATCAATTATTGCATGTAAAAACTCCTAGACACATCATACATGTATTGATTTTAACCTTTCAGTCCAGCTTCTATTTTAAGTTTATACTCATTTATTTAAGTTTGATTATGTTGGAAGCTATAAGTTTATTGACACACTTATAAATCTGTTCCAGGAACCAACCAGTACTTAGCAATTGGTGTAAAGTTTCTTGCTCATGGAAACAACGGCTTGCCTCTGATACGGTTTGAAGCCATGCTGCCAGCAATCTTTAGATTACTAGTCTGACGTGTTACCCACTCGGTCACACTGTTTTAGGAACTGACTATCCTTGACATATCAAGATTAAAAGCTGGTCAGTACTAGTAGAGAGGAAGACTTCAGATTCCCCTCTTTCTTTCAGACACAAGCAAGCAAATTAGTAGAACAAGCTTGCGGGACATCTTTCTCATAAGAAAAAGTCCAAAGTCCCTTCAGGGACTCTAACCCACAGCAGTGCGGTGCAAGTGGTTTGAAGTCAATGATCTAAACCATTCGGCCATGGACCCCAACAAATGGCATGGTTCCTTGTCTACCATTTATCATATAACTTGTTGTGTTGTTTTTTTTGTCGTTTATTTTTACCTTGTTGAGCTAATTCTTGCTCCCAAAGTTTTCTTTCTGCTCTCAATCCCTCAATGACAGACTCCATTCCATGTACCTGAGACTTCAGCTTCACATTATCCTGAAAATAAACATCACAAACATTACATCACCATTAAAGGCGTATTTACACACTTTCTTTTCCTTATCACTTTTATTGAAGCAATCCAATGAAATAAAAGTGTTTGTTAAATCCCTACAGTCTATCTACAGTGCTGGCTTACCAGTAATATTACCTTTGTCCCCTCAAGTGACCAACTACTAATCCCATATGATTTCTGAATCAGCTATGAGAGAGATATATACAAATGTATCACCATAAGATTCGGTGTACGAGGTAAATTGTCTTTTGAGAAATTTTGCCACTTTCAAGGATCCAACCAGCATCCTTGGATAAACAATCCTAGCTATTCTCTCCCTTTTGAGCTAAGTGGGCGATCTACACTTCTTTCTTGCATATCAGACAGGATTACTTACCGTTTATACCGGTGCTAGAAAAACCTGTCTTACACCCCCATGTAAGACAAGTCGCGTGCTTTAAATGACGTCATTGTCGCGTGCCTTTTACGAATGAATTGTGTTCTTAGGATGTCATTTTACTATTATGAAAAAAGTTGTATGTTCTTAAAAGTAAATAATGATATCAGTTTTCATAATTTCAGTTTTGAAAATAATTGATATGTAATATGCAAGAAAAAGAATCAAAAACCGACTGTCAGTACAGACAGGAATTATAAAATATAAAACACCGCCTTTCTAACTAAGTTAAACCTTCAATTTGTATTTTTAATTAAATATATTATAATCTTTTATGCATCACTTAATTTAACTTTTACAAGGATTCACTTTTTGTCTAATGGACTATAAACTATAAAATCATAGCAACCTTATGTCCTTTTATTAAGGTGCATAATAAAATCAAATACTCTCAGGAGTTTCATTGACTTATTGATATTCATGGTCTTATTAAATAATGCAAATTGCACATATTCAAACAACAGCAAGTATTAACATAAAATTTTAACACAAAAATCTTTGACAGAATGTTCTTAAACCTATTATGTTTTCACTGGTCTTGATATAATCCTCTGTCATGTTAAGAATGGGAACAAAAAATTAAATATTCCAAAGTGGCAGAATATTCATTTCAATCTCTTCTTTTTTTTCCCCCAGAACATTTGAAATTTGTGCAAATTCAACAAATATATATGGTACAAAAAATACGTTTCATCTTTGTTTAATCAAAATGGATAAATGTAAGGGAGAAGTAGCATAGTGGGCAAGGAATCTGCCTCTCAATCTGCGGCAATCATATGTTCCAGCCCTACCTGCAGCGGCTATGTTTACTCATGTTTCGGAATTTATTACCTACTTACTGATAAACAATCTACAAACCTGCTTGAGAAGTTCAAATTGAATCATGCGTTTCCTCGCTTCTTCAACATGGGCTTCTAAAACATTTACTCTCTCCTGTATGAAAAGTTAAACATGAAAAACAATTTTTTTCAACATGTCTTACACCAAGGTCTTACATGTATCTATGAGAATGAAAAAGAAACAACGAGATTTTACTGCTGTTTTCACACACACAAAAAAAATAAGCGCTAAATAAGGATTCTATTTTAACTCACAAATAATTACCAGTTACAAAATCATTAAGACTTTGTGCACCAATTTGGAAACAATTATAGATTTAAATAACTCAGTGAAATTGAAAGCTACAAAAAACATATCTCTCTCTTTAAAATGGATCCCAATATAGCAATAACTGTCTTTGGGAATTAGCTATAATCTTATTACAATATATAAGGGAAATCTGTGTATACACTAAGGAGGAAACAAACTGGAGAAAAATGTTACAATCAATTGACTTATTCTGTTTATTTCAACTGACAGTCTTGGCGTGCACTTGAGACCAGCTAACCTACATCCAATTCTTTCTATAGATGAAAAAGTTCTGTTAGATTAATGACAAAAAAAACTTATCAAATAAGGTTTCAAGTCTGAATGATATAGTCAGGTGCAATAGTGCAGAAAATTTCAATCTCTTTGCCCAATGTAGCTTTCAATGATCAGAAAAGACTATTCAATATAATACAGTACTGAGGGCCTACAAAAGTACAGCACAAGACAATATATTAAATGCTGATCAATACCCTAAAGTGAATGCAACATTTAAATCCTTTTTAACCAACATATTTAGCCGAAAATCAAGCGTATTTTAAGAACTTTAAGCATGCTTTTTTTCCTATTTCACAAATACTTTTTGTCACACATTTTATCACTATTTACCAATAATTAAGTTACTAAAACCAGTTACAAGAACAATAAGAAAACACTACTGCTTTATCACTTTTAATGAAACAAACTATATCAATTTTCATTTTGCAATATAGTTGGTAAAGATTTAATTTTACAACATGGCTAGTAAAGATTCCTAATGATTTTTAAATGGGCTTATGGTTGAAAACCATGCACTTACTGCTGTTATCCTTTCTAAGCATATTTTCACACACATGTGCACATTTTTTAAGCACTTTTAACGAGATTAACCAAATTCAAGGACTTTTAACATTTTTCTTTCAATCTTGAGCACTTTTCAAGAAAGGGATCAAACTTAAGTACTTTTAAGACTGTGATAAAACACCTGGGGCTGTTTTCATTTACACCAAATAATTATTGGCCTTCTAAAGACACTAATATGCTGTAACATTAACTGGAAATCTGACAAGTTATTGTTTTTTTATTCAATTTCTAATTGAAATTTAAGAAATGATCAAAGATAGTATTGATGGTTTATGCAGATTTTAAATGTATTAAATTGGATTTAAATATCTTAACAGAAAACATTCAGCAGGGTTTTCATTAAGAGGCCGCGGGAGGCCGAAATGCCTGTTTCAAATGTATGTTGGGCCACCTAAAACATACGAGTACACTGTTTTTTTAATATGATAAAACCAAAATGACTGAATCAAGTTCAAAATTGACAGTCTAAAAAGTTTTTAATTCTAATGCTGGATTCAGTGAAAAAAAAAACCAAACAAATACCCGATACTGTGACCCTTGCTCTTGTTTAGCCTTGGACAATTCTGAAATTCTCCCTTTCTGTTCCTTGACATACTGAAACAGAATAAATAAATCATAACATACAAAACTCAATTAATGATTTAATAGCATACATACTGGAAATGAAAGTAATAAGCCTTTGTCATCAGCATACAGCTAACTGAGCAAGCTAACAATGGAGGCTCTTTACTGTTAGCAGCTAAGTTTTGTAGTTTTGGTACTAAAATCCCTCAACTTTTTTTTTGGCTTTTTTGTTTTGGCAATTAGTTCAGCAATAGTGATGGAAGACAAAATACAACTCTGTTTACAATTTACTAACATCCTCACAAAATATTTCACATTCAACACTATTTTCATCAGATGATCAGGACCTCACTATATCCATTTTATAAAACATTATAAAACTCATGAGTGTCCTTTCAAAGGGACACACAAAAAAACTATTTACATGTATTTCAGGGGAATAATGAGCCTTTTAACAAAATTCTCAGCACTGGAAATGATTATTTGGCTTTTTTCTCCCTTTTTATTCATTGAGTTATATGCAGAATTGTAATGCATATGACTGACCATCAATGTACATTATGTTTGATCTTTAATAAACAAAATGAGCCGCGTCACGACAAAACCAACGTAGTGTGTTTGCGACCAGCATGGATCCAGACCAGCCTGCGCATTCGCGCAATCTGATCAGGATCCATGTTGTTCCCTATCAGTTCCTCTACTTGTAATAGGGTTTGTAAGCGAACAGCATGGATCCTGATCAGACTGCGCGAATGCGCAGGCTGGTCTGCATCCATGCTGGTCGCAAACCCATTATGTTGGTTTTGTCATGACACGGCTCATATAAACCTGGCCATGTGTGACCTAGAATAAACACTGTAATCAACAATCTATAAAAGGTTATAGCAGGACAATCCACTTTCATAACATATGACAGGGCAGAGTGACAAAAAAAGAAATTAGATCAATTACTGATAAGATGGTGAAAGCTGCTCAATTAGAAATACCAGATCAAAAGATCAAATTAAAGAGTAGGACAACACTTTTTATCCTAACAAAATTTCCCCGAACCTTTTTATCTTTCTCTCTCTCTCTCTCTCTCTCTATCTATACTGTATTAATGAGGAGGCATTCAACTTAAGATCATTACATGTAACATTCAAGAACGTATAAATCCAGCTTCCATGTGATCTGCATACAGAAAGTACAAATGTTTCTAAAAGTGGTTCTCTCTTCAAATAAGTTTCTTTTTACATTTTAAAAGATCTTAAATTTTTAAAAATTTTGCTTTTTTTGGCCAGATTTAAAGTTACACAGACACTGTTTTCATCATAAGACTAATTCTAAATTTTTCATGTGCAGGAAAACCTCAAGAGCCACTCTATGAACTTATTTTAAGCACAAGAGGGTGCCTGAATAAAACCACAGACCTTCTAAAGGGAAGCTGGACAGCTTCATCACATAAAAGAGGTCACAGTTCCTTTCAGGATTCAAACCCACGGCTATGATAGGCAGGTCATTCCAAGTCAACACCTTTTTCCACTCAGCCATTGAGGACTGACATATCAAATAATTATGCCTGAACTTAAATATTTCACTTTGATTCCTGTAACCTTTAGAACTCATAGTTGTTTAAATTACTTTATAAAATTCTCACTTTCAAGTCATTTGTTTATATTACACCAAACAAATGAGAACAAACTGAACAATAACGGCAGGTTTTATCGAAATCTAGGATTTAAAGAAAACAAATTGGTTTATTAATTCTTAAATCAGTTCATAGTAGATAAAAATTTTCATTTAACTTTAAAAAAATAGCTTTATAAACAGAAAGTTGGCTGCAAGACTTTGGTAAGTAAAAAAATAAGACTGCAGTCTGATATTTCTTAAAATTGCAAAATACAATGTGAAGTTATAAATATTTTATTCATGCAATATTCATGATTAGGACAAACAAATTTATCTCCAAAGTACTTTTATTTATGGATAATCTATTTAAGTACTAAACTGTTTTTTCAGGCAGCACATTGAATTGGATAGAAAATAATATCCTAATGTCACTTTAACCCTGATTTTGTGTAATATATTTGCCCTTAACTTTGAATATGGGACAGTCCATTGAAAGTTTAAGGGATATCAGAATCAAAATATAAAAGGACTCAACTCCACTGAGGCATTTTTGACATGACAGGGCTTGAAATAATTTTTTGACATAGATTCCTCTTTACGTAGGTTCACACCAATAATTTGTGTGCAAAGTTTTCAATCATTTCCTCTCTCTCTTTGTTTGCAGAACAATTATTCTAATTGTGAAAGAAGAGCCATTGTGTGGCGAGGGACACACTCAACTTTTTTTACTTTTTCAAAATGCAAACTAATAAAAGGTTTTAATAATTTTTTAAAAAGAAAATTTAAGAAAAAAAAGATTTCTAAACCAGCAGGGTGAAACTAATGACCGTAAGACTCAATTTTCGAGATTAATTGTCACAGAGAAATTTCACTTCAACAAAAAATCGTACCCGCGACTCCTCATCTGGTACTCTCCCTATTAAGCTAAGCAGGCAGACAAATAAAGGTGCTATGTGAAGCAGTAGATAATGTGTGACACAAGAAAGAATGTATGAATAAGCAACTATACACTCCAACGAAAAATTTCCCAGACCATAAAAGGTCAAGGGCAAGCACCAAGTACACAGTTAATTTATTCAAACTTTTGAAGAATATCATTCCAATGGTCATAACAGCATAGTTATACCAGTACATCATTTATCATGCAGAAATCCTTCAATATAATCCCATTTTAAAACAAGAGCTGTCGCTTGGACAGTATGCTTGACTATTCTCAGTGCTTGATTGTAAAACAAGAGCCTGGATAATGTTGAATTATCTAAATTCAAAAAATGCCATAATTCTATCAAAATCCATGTTAGAAATATGGACATAGGACAGTGACCTCCCATTATGCTCTCAAATAAATAAGTGTGTAAAATTTCAACCCATTCCCTTCAGTAATTTTGGAGATACTAACTTTTATGCAGAAACTTGAGACTGGTGCTTGGGTGATTTTAAAAGCTCTCCCTGTTCTTTAAATAGTCAAGCTAATAAACAGAATGAGACCTACAGAGGTAAGTTCTGAGATCATTTCACTGGATTTTTCATCTTTTTTCTGTGCAGCAAATAATGCTGCTTTGTTGGAAGCATTCTCTTCACTGACTGTCTCAAACGCAACCTTCAGCTGTGATAGAAAACAAACATTATGTCCTTGAAACATTTTTATTATTCAGAATTCTGATTCAATTATGTTTTCCACAGATTTGAAAATAATTATTTCTGACAAAATCAACACTTTCATATATAAGATGCAGTAACAACAAGTGTATGAGGATTCTTTGCCAAATTATACTCAACAGTAAACCAATTATTTAAAGGAAATGTTCTAAGAGTATTGCAAGTTCTAGGGTTTTACATTAAGCAAAATAAAGCCTGAGAAAACATTTATTTAATAGTATGCAGTGACATAGACAAATTAAAGCAACTGGCATTGTGGCATTTAAGATGTGAAATACCTTAAGTTCATCACCAAATAAATGAATCTTAAAGCATTATTTAACTTGACAAGTGACCCAAGAATGACCAGTTAAACAACAAATGTGTCTGACTTTTATGGCATGATTTGTCTGGAACTAATCTAAACAAGTTGCTCATTTAACAACATATATCCTAGCAATAATAGTCAATGTGCAGATATTTTACGGTATTTCTTTATAAAGAACCACAGGTTTTTTCTTTCTTTTTGGTAAGGTTTTATGTATAGCAAACACTTTAAAGGTTAACTGACAATGGAGGGCCCTTTAAACAATGTACATGTATTTCTTTTATGGCAATATATGCCTCCTTAAAAACTATAAATATTATATGGCAAAGTATGCTTCTTTCAACACTGTAATGGTTATATGGCAATGTTGGCCCCTTCCAACACTGTAAAGTTTATATGGCAATGTTGGTCCCATTCAACACTGTAAAGGTTATATGGCAATGTTGGCCCCTTCCAACACTGTACATGCAATATGGCAATATTGACCTCTTCCAACACTATACAGGTTATATGGCAATGTTGGTCCCTGTTAACACTGTAAATGCTATATTGCCATGTTGGCCCATTCAACACTGTAAATGCAATATATTGACCCCTTCCAACACTGTACAGGTTATATGTCAATGTTGGTCCCTGTAATCACTGTAAATGCTATATGGCAATATTGGCCCTTTGCAACACTTTAAAGGTTATATGGCAATGTTGTTCTCTTTCAACACTGTAAAGGTTACAATATTATGCCAATGGAGGTTCCATAAAGTGGTAGTGGAATTAAGTGGAATATGCCATCTTGCATAATTAAAGCATTTCTTAATCCTTTTCATTAATGTTTCCCTTTACAAAAGTTGGCAGCCTTTTTAAAACTTGGAATGTACCCAATAGGAAGGGAGCTCGACATTCTGCTGTTTTGTCAGTCTATTATTATGTACAGTGTGATGGAAAAGGGCAAATCTGTATAGACATCACCCCACCCCCTCTCTAAGTAGGGGCATTTAAGTGAAGTACTAGGCAGATCTATCATACAAATTGTAAAATACTCAAACTGCAGTTTGTTAAACATCTGTTTTCCATGTATTAAATGAAAAACCATTTATTTCATTCAAATGAAGAACTTCAAGTAAAATATATATATGAAAACATACCTGCTGGAATCTGCTAGATTCTATCTGTAGTGCTTGTCTAAACTCATCCTCTAAACTATTGTACTGTCTGCTCAACTCCTCAATCCTGTAAGATAATTTTTTTATATATTTCTGTAGCAAATTATTATTATTATTATGATACTTTTCTTTAAGTTTGAGCAAAACATTGAAAATCATCAGAAAAACTTTAAACCAAATGTTATAGATCAAAGTGTTTGCTAGTCATCGGTGAGACAAGGTGTGGTCTAGGAACAAAAGACACTGGCGTGCAAAGCATTTTAATATAGCCCTGTTTCTCCCAAGATGTAACATAAAAATGTAACCACCTCAGTAACGTGACAAAACTTTAATGATACATCAATACATTGAAAAATCTAAATCTAGCTGCAAAGAAAATCAACTTTTTTTGTGACTAAAAAGAATAAAGTTCAATAATCGAAAAAAAATAAAGTAAATGAACCCATCATTTGTAATTTTGTTAGTACAAACATATGTACATTAAATTGTGTATGTTTGTACAAACATGTGTACATATACTTACTTCTCTTGTTGTTGTTTCATTTGTTGATGATATTCTCTCTCATTCCTCTTGACTTCCTCTTGTACAGCAGTCTGCATCTCTTTACTTCCTAGACTGTATCTACTCTTTAATTCTTCTCTGAAATAAAAAAAGTATTTCATACTTAATACATGCTTAATTATCCTTGTTTTATTTATAAATCAGATTTGAAAGTGTTATTAAAAATATTTTTGTTTATTTTCTGTGTTTTTTTTTCCACAGATTTTAAAAAAATTTTTGTCATAAAAATTTTGTTGGTTTGGGTTTTTTAATTAATTCCCCCTAACCAAACTTTCCTGGAAACTAACCCAAAAATTAAAACTGTCAGAGACAAGTGGAACCACTAGGGCTCAATGTTTCCCAAGATCAATGGGGCAAGAAAAAATATTTACCCAAGGTCAGAACAGAGACCCGCTGGGTCTCCCTAAATTTAAAATAAACCCGGGTGGGAGGAAAGGGGAGGGACCAAATTTAACATTTTAGGAATTAGGGTACAAAAAAGTAAAAAAATGTCAAAAATTAAAATCAAACAGAACATTTTAAAAACCTGGGGCCCAAAAAACAAGTTAACATTTCAAGAATGAACGCTGCTTTTAAAAAAAGGGTCTTAAAACAATTTAAACCCTGTTTGACGCTTTAAACCCTTTTAATAATGGGTTAAAAAAAATTTGGGGGGCACAAAGTATTTACTTTTCCATAAACCTTTAAACTTAAATTTAAAAAAACGTAAAATTTTTTCTTTTCCCCCGACAAATTTTTTTGTCTACTAAAAAAGTGCAAAAAACCCCTTTTTCATGGGGTTTTGCCTAAGCTACCCGGGGGGTGGGGAATTTCAAACTTAAAAACATTAAAAACACTTTTAGGAAAGGTTCCCGGAAAACCTTTTTTTGAAATATACTAAAATATACCAACCCCTCCCAAAAATTTGGGGGAAAGTTTTCAACTACAAAAAAAACAAGTCTATTTAAAAAAGATAAAACACTTTTAAAAGTTTTGTTAAGGTTAATCAAAATATTTCATACTCAAGTTTTAACCCGCTTATGGAAATTAAAAAGTTTTTACACTGTTTTTAAATTTTAAAACACTAAAAATTTTTTTTTATCTTTTATTAGGGAGATTTGATAGTGAAATTTTTTTTTTGGGTTTTTTTTTGTTTGTTTTTTCGTAAAACAAAATCTTTCTTTAAAAAGTGAGCAAAAGTATTCAATTTTTTAAAAAAAAGTAACAAAAACCCTTTTTGTTCTATTTTTTTAAAGGTTTTCAATGGGAAAAACTGGTACCAAAACCAAAATGCTAGGAAAAAATGTCTTTTAACCCCTTGGGGAGGGATTTTCTGATAAACCCAGTAAAAACACGGGAATTTTAATGAGAAACAAGAAATGTGTCTATGTGGGTTTGCTTTTTTTTGTTTAATTTGGGGTTTTAAAGTCCAAAAACCAAACAAAAGCATAGGGCATTTGGTGGGGGTTTTTCCCCGCTTTACTGGTGGAAAGGGAAAACTTCCTTTAGGTTTCCCTTCCGTGGGATTATTTCCCGGATAAACAAACCCCTTGGTAGGAACCAACCCATGTTGCCCGTAAAGTCTAGCTGATAATAGCTTCCTACAACATGAAAGAATCCAAAGTCCCTGTCGGGAATTCGAAACTCCGCAAGTGGTTGAGGGGGCCATGAAGTGTGCGGGATGATCAAAATATAAACTAACACTAGCTGTGTAATATGGGAAAATAAAAGGTCACAATTTTTCCAAATGAAAATCAAATGCTACATACATTCAGGTACAATAAGACAAAATATACAAACCTATTGTGTTCCTGTTCATTCTTGAGGGGCCCGGGAGACTTTGGGAGAGAATTAATCTGTGGGTTTTCTGGGCTGTCACAAGGAGGCTCTTTAGTAAGTCAACCTTTCTCTTTGCCTAAGTGCTTGCAAACCAACGCATCAGTGCTTCTTTGCAGGCTTTTTTAAATGCTAAAAATAGAGGCAAAATTTGCATCTAGGATTTAAGAAAACAAACCATAATTTTTTCTAATAAAATGGTATTCTACAGGAGTGAAATGATAACTCCCCATCGAGATGCTTTATTTTGCAATTCTAAATCAAATTTCCTGGCTGTATTTTTTATATTTGATTTGATCTATAAATTTAATAATTGTGTCAAAAAATTGTCACGAATATCTCCTTTCCTGGATTATTTAACGTGTTAAATGTTCACATCAATACTAAAACATGTGTTTATAAATAGAAGACAGGCCAGCAGGGCAGTCAAATTGAAACAATAAAACTGGAACATATTTTCCTATTCATTCTGTAGTCAAAAAGGAAACTGGAAAATACTTTTCCTATTTATTCTACAGCCATAAAGGATACCTAATACAACCAGGAGATTAAAAATTTTCCTATTCATTCTACAGTCAAACAAAATTGCATTTGAGAAAAATGCTATGCCACAGCATTAATACACCACTAAATAGTAGTGTAGGAACAATTTTTTTTATTCTATACAATTGAAGATTGTCAGAATGCATAGATCCCTGACCTACCTAATTCTTATTATCAGATTAGTGGTTAAATCTATTGTTAATCCAATAAAAGATCAGAGTAGGAATATATCAACGCACTTGATTCTAGTGAATTTGGTGGTGAAGGTCATATTTCACACAGCCTAAATTTCATGACTACATCAAAGGACAACACAGTAAGACACTCAAAATCTAGGTCAGCTGATATCAAAGTTCACTTTACATCTTTATCTGTGCACATGGTTCAAATTTCATAGCTGTACATCAAAGGACAAGAAAGTAGGTCACATCATCAAAATCTAGGGGCGGAACCAATTTTGACTCCAGGGCTATAATTTGAACAATCTTGGTAGAGGTTCACTTTGCAAAGTCACATGCCATATATTTACCCTCTAGCCTTTATCAATTCAGAGAAGAAGATTTTTCAAGTTTTTACTTTATACATATAAGGAAAACTATCGCCTCTGGGGCAGAGCAATATTAACACTAGGTGCATAATTAAAACAACTTTAGTAGAGGACCCATAGATGATGTTATATACCAAATATCGAAGCTCTAAGCCTTGTACCTTCAGACAAGAAGATTTTTAATTTTTTACATGTTCATAAAGAAAAATCAATGACCCCTGGGGTGGGGCCAATTTTAACCCAAGGGCTATAATTTGCACAATCTTAGTAAGGGTCTACCAGACAATGCCTCATGCAAAATATCTAAGCTCTAGGCCTTTTGGGTCTTTACAAGAAGGTATTTTAAGTTTTTACTATATGTATATATAGTGAAAATCAATGACCCCCGGGGCCGGGCCGATTTTGACCCCAGGGCTATAATTTGAACAATCTTGGTAGGCGTCTACCAGACAATGCCTTATGCAAAATATCTAAGCTCTAGGCCTTTTGGGTCTTTACAAGAAGATTTTTTAAATTTATTCTTAAAATTCCTTTTGGTTGCCATGGCAACCAGATTTCTGCATGGAATGAAATTCTTTGAACAACTTTGGAAACCCTTCACCCAAGCATCAATCCGGCCAAGTTTAGTTGAAATTGGATTAGTGGTTTTTCACAAGAGATTTTTGAAGTTCACTATATAATCTACATTGTAGCCTCGATAACTCGCTCTTCATTATAACGCTAATCTCAGTATAGCGCTCATAGACCTTGGCTTCCAAAAAAAAATAAAAAAAAATAAAAACTTCCCCCCCCCCAAAAAAAATTTTTTTTTTAAGTAGACTTAGATTTATAGCGCGCTATAACGCTTGCTCAATTTGACAGTCAAGTACAATAAACAATTGTTATTAGGACATTTATGAGCGCCAAAGGTGTGAAAAACATGTCCAGGTAAGCGCTCATCCGCTCTTTTGTTGTTTTACCTGTCTTCAAATTGTTTCCAAAATCTCAAATTCATATCATAACTGTGATATTGGCAACCGGTGGTGAGTATAAATAAACTAAAATTCACACGCATATCTTTGACATGTAAACCTCGCTGAATTAAATAATCCACAAGCCCAGCTTTAGTTGTGTCCCCTAGTTATTCAAACGTCAGTACAGTAATGGCTGTTTACACTACATTCATGATTTATAATTTTCTTTCCAAAGTTTTTCGTTTCTTTTAAATATAACTAGTATTATTTGTGAATATAATATATGTTTACATCCTTGAATGGTTTTAGAAAAAGATAATGTCGATATTCATTGAACAGTAAGTAAAAAAATCAGCGTTATATTTATACATGTGGTGGGTGGGGTAATGCGGTAATTTCGCAATGAGCGTTCTAATGAGAGCCTCGTTAGAACGCGGTGTTGAGACATTGGACCCCAACATGAGCGTTTTAATGAGGCTGAAGTATATATATAACACACAAACACACACACATACATACACACAGGTGAATCGCTATATGCCACCGCATCGCAGATGCTGCGGTGGCATAAAAAGAAAGCCTTACTACAACTTGAACATATTTTTCCTATTAATTCATTCTACAGTCAAAATGGAAACTAATAATACAAGAATTTACTTTTCCTATTCATTCTACAGTCAAAATGGAAACATTACAACTAGAACATATTTTCCTATTCATTCTACAGCCAAAAAGGAAACCTAATACAACAAGAATTATTTTTTCTTTATCATTCTACAGTAAAAATGGAAACATTACAACTAGAACATATATTTTTCTTATTTATTCTACAGACAAAATGAAAACATTACAACTATAACATATTTTTCCTGTTTATTCTACAGTCAAAAAACGATACCTTACAATGGGACATTATGATTTTTTCTATTCATTCTACAGTAAAAAAAATTAGGAAACCTTACAACTGGAACATATTTTCTGATTCATTCTACAAGTACTACAAAATGGAAACCTTATACAGCAAGAATTTATTTTTCCTAATCATTCTACAGTCAAAAAGGAAACCTTACAACTAGAATGTTACAAGTTCAGACAATTTAATTTAGTGTTTCAGTATAAAGACAATTTAATTCAACGTGTCAGTTTTTACTTATATGACGGAGTAGGTATAATAAATAATTACAAAAGAAAAGCAAGTCAGCATTTAACACTTCATTTGC